CAATAGCTGTTTCAGCAGATGGGGGTTGCGGCTTAGTAGATGTGCGCTGCCTTTCATTTCCACAGTTCCAGAAGTGGAGGTGGAGATGTGGGGTCCTTTTTAGGCAGCTCTGGCTGCCCTGGGAACCTAAGGGTGCATTCACACATGAGTGTATTGTAGCTTGAAGCTCCAAAAAAAGCCTCCAACCTAAAAAAATCAATTGTTCTCTATGGTGCTTGTTCACACTTGATCGCGCGAATAGGCACAGTTGAGTACAGTTGATTTTTTAAGTTTGAATGTTTTTGGAACTTCAAGCTACAAAACACTCAAGTGTGAATGCAGCCTAACAGTCCTAGCAAACTGATGCACTCCAGGCCCCAGCTCCCTTACTAGTACAGAGCAGCAGCCAGCACTGGCAGGACTTTGCCTCATTCTAGGGCCACCAAGAGTGCACAACACTGCGTATCTTGGTATATAAGCTGCTGATGCCTGTTCGTGCAAGGCCAAGCCTCCACTTTTGATCGTATGTTTAGTTCCTGGTCGAATAAAAGGGATATAAATTACCTAACCGTTACCATGTGTATGGCCAACTTTAGTAATGTTAGGGCTAAATTGATATTTTTCCTGTGCCCTTAATGGAATCAACTTAATCCAGAAGGATTACAAACCTGAGAAAGAGTGAATCTGTGAGAATTCCCCGATTTCAACTCTGCCTTCTCAAAGCAGTGTTTCTTTCACAAGGGGATATTAAAACACTCCCAGATGTCTCCTGTATCAAAATTTACATGTTTGCTTTTTAGTTTCTATCTTAAAGTTTTCATTGTTCGTTGAAAAGTATTTAGACTGGTCCACATTTTATATCGCTTGAGTTTGGAGTATAAATGAATTTAAAGGAGAAGTAGGGTCAAAGCTCTCTTTGACCTACTTCTCCTGTGGGTCACAGGAGTGCACTTCGTTCTGCACTCCTGTGACCCATATTCAGCCAACACCAAGCTAAAGTTTGCTGTCAACTGACTTAACAACTGACATAACAGGCCCAGATTTTGAAGGGATCCCGACTTTAATGTCAGGATCCACCTAGATGCCTGACTGGCAGCTGGCTCAGCCTCTCGGTACCTAACTGAGAACTTGAGCCAGCTGCTTTCACCCCCTGCACAGACCTGCACTCCATTGAGCTCTGAAGGGTAGAGCAGAGAGCCGGTGACTAACAGTCACCGCTCTCTGCTCAATGAATACCCAGAACTAAGAGATCAGTGTGATCTCTTAGCTAATGGTCTTCGAGACAACAAGGGGGGCAGATGTAGCATCAGATTGATTCTGCATCCACCTAGGTGAGTATGATTGATTTGTGTGGGGTTTTTTTTTTTTTTTATGTTTTAGAGTTGTCATGAGAGCAAGAGGTGATGGGAAATCTTCCAGTGGGGATAACTGGTGACAACTGTCTAAGATGGGAATAATAACACTCTCTGAAGAGGAAAGTGGAAGGAAATCTGACAAAGACAAAAAGATAAGGGTTTTAACCCTGTTCTATTCTATATATAAAACTTGGTGTTTGTTCTATGCAAACACTTTAAAGTGTTTTTACAGAGTGATAAAGGATGAATTTTTATGGCTTTCCTCTCCCCTCATCTCCTGTCCCAGTGGCAACCTTCCACCAAACGGGAAATAAGGGACAAACCTTCAACAGCAGCAAGAAAAAAAAATTGTCTAGACATTCACTTTAAAGTAAAGCAGGTAATCGATGAAGCAAGGTGACTCCTTCCATTCCTCATGGCCTTCTAAGGTCAGGACTTTTCCAGTTCATTGCTGAGTAGAAGCAGACTCCTTGGATAAAACACCATTACTCCTGTGATTATATAGCAGTATAACTCTGCTGTTTTGGATATCACACCTTCTATAAGGACAGTTTCTGCTACACCAGTCAGTTCTGAAATATTCTTCCTCTTATTTCATGTTTTACTGCTTGGGCGTATCTCATTGGGCTTGTATTGTTGGTACAACAAAAAGCCTTCTGCTGCAGATACTGTATGTCGGTTTACTTTCTGATGAATGTTTTTTTGGCCTTGTGCTGTGAACATTGCTCTTTGCATATTAAAGGACTCCAGAAAGCACTTCACTCAGTGTACTGCCATTGCTGTCCAGTAAACATTGCATGAGTGCTGAAGTCAGAGTTATCCAGTTTTTACTTGAAAGTGCACCAGCACCCAGACTTTGGACATTTATAGTGATTTGTAAACCTACTTTTTTTTTTTTTTTAAATACCAAACATGTTATACTTTCCTGCTCTGTGCAATGGTCCAGATGGTGCAAGGAGAGAAGTGCCTCTAAGTGCAGTATATCACTTTATTCAGGTATAAATGTAGGAACACTCACATAAATAAGGTAAGTATTAGCATAAAACCGTGGTTGGTGTAACCATCAGTAAGGTGGGTATCCAGGGTGAAGAGCTGTCATCTGTGTGGGGTATGGAGAAGTCAGTCAGCGTGGTGGCTGGAGGGGAACAGCTGTGAGGCCAGCCGGGGTGCACGTCCTCCCTCGGAGCCGTTTGGAATGCAGCTGCGGCGTGGCCGTGATGACGTCAGATAACCAAGGTGCACTGCGACGCGTTTCGGAGCATGCGCTGGCCGGGAAAGGCGGAAGTGCGCTCCTTTGTCAAGCTGATGCAATACTTACCTTATCTATGTGAGTGTTCCTACCTTTACACCTGAATAAAGTGATATACTGCACTTAGAGGCGCTTCTCTCCTTCTCTCATCCTGCAGAGTCTGCTACAGTCTATTTGGAAGCCTTTCCCTTAGTGCTACACGGATCCCCCTACCCCAAGCTCATCTTCCTCATACAGCCATAACTACCACCATTACCCCATACCAGGATTACCCAGGACTTTTAGCAGTGCTTGTGCTGATCACCCCCCCCTCATTTCATCTCCAGATGGTGCGCCTGGCTCCTCCTTCATGCTGAGTGCCTCCATAGAAAACCACATGCTATGGGGACACTTATGTGGGCTCGTTCCCAAGCTGCGCTCTATGTATCCGTTGACACAGAGCATGGCTTGGTGCTCTGTTCTCTCTTCACTGGCTGTGATTGACAGCAGAAGGAGCCAATAGCTCCTCCTTCTGTCTCTGAGCCTTTGAGGAGGGAGAGAACGAAGCCCTCCAAAGGCTCTCTGTCATCTCTGATAGGGCTTCCATCTTCATTAGGTTTTCCTACCATGTTCGCAGGTTCTGGCCATTTGGCTGAGCCATGATGTCACTCCCATGCACACAGGAGCCACGACTGTGGCACAGCAATCTGAATGGACGGCACACTTAGTATGCCATCTATTAAGCGCACTGGACTGTGTCGGTGACGTCGCCGGCTGCAGAAATAGTGAATATCACCTAAACCGTGCACGTTTAGGAGGTATTCCTTGTACCTACAGGTAAGCTTACCGGTAGGTAGGTACAAGTCATCGAGGTGTTTACTACTGCTTTAAAGAATGCAGTGGTGTCAAACTGGCGGCCCTCCAGCTGTTGTGGAACTACAAGTCCCATGAGGCATTGCAGGGTTGACAGTTACAAGCATGCCATCCAAAGGCAGAGTCATGATGGGACGTGTAGTTCCGCAATAGCTGGAGGGCCACCAGTTTGACACCCCTGATCTAAAGCAAATCTTTATATTACATTTTGGATACCGTAGTGGAGGGTTAGATATGTTGTCAGTTGTTTTTTTTGGGGGGGGATACCATCTGTGTCAAATTATGGGGAATTCCCTTCAGATCCTGTTCTGTAGACTCAACAGTAAGTGAGATGATATATTGGACAGAGGTCACAGGAACAAGTGTCCCCATTGGAACACATTCTCCTCTTATTTGCTTTTCTTACACTGAAATCTCCTTAACAGGGACATGGGCAGAAATAAAACCTGAAAGATTGTTCTATCTATAGTAACAATCTACCCAAATAATACAAAAAAAACAACAACAAGGTTTGTCTGCGGGTAGTGATCACAGCTGGGAAGCAGTGCCTTTCATTTGTACATGGAATGGAGTGTCATGATGTGACATTCCATTCATTCTATGTACGGCACCTGCCATGCATAGAAATGCAGGGACATACAGACAGTTGTGGTGGGGTGGAGTGTGGTGCGGAAAAGTGCAGCATGGTTTTCTGTGTCTTAGCAGAGAAAGAAAAACACTGCTCTCTGATATTGTGTGAACCTGCCCTTGGTTAATAGTCCTTTTCAATGTCTGTCAGAGCTTCGATGGGCTTATCAACTTACCCTCACTTGTCAGTACTTGGGTCTGACAATGGGCCTCTAAGGCAATGAGCACTGCATCATTGGAAGAGGTTGATAGGGCTACATGCTCCCCTATACTCAGAAGCACCAGTTATTCCAAAGAGCTCCAGCAGGTGAACAGAGTGATAGGGGAGTGAAGCAAAGGTAAGTACTAGGCTCCATGCACAGGGGGCGTTTTAATAACACTGGTAACGTTAGCTGTGGAAAGTCACATTAAAAACATGAGTTTTTCAGCGTTTTTGCATTAGCGTTTAGTGACGTTTTGCCACTTTTTTTTGTGTGTTTAGCGTTTTTTTTTTTTTTTAGCAAACAAAGTGACATTCCATTCATTTCTATGCCCTACATAGAGATTAATGGAATGTCACATCATGACATTCCATTCCATTAAAACAAAAATTTTTTTTTTTCTGCTCAAAAAAAGTACAAAAATGTTTGTTTGCCACGTTACAGCTCCTCCAGAAACCCACTAGTTCTGGGTGTTTTTCCAGCCAAAAAATGCCCCCGCCAAAAAATGCTGATTACAATCTGTGCATGGACACGTAGGATAACATGCTGGGGAGTTTACTGTCTGTAGAAAAAAACACCAAAAACAACAGTTGTAAAAACATCCAGTGTGCATGAGGACTAAGTAGAAGAGGGAAAAAAAAAAAAAAAAGCTGTTAGTTCCCTTTTAATGAGTCTTCCTCCTGGAAATCGAATTTCAAAACTTTTTCTGTTTTAATTGAAGTTTCTTCTGTTCTACAGGTGGAATCCAGGGATTCGTTGAACAGCATTGCCCTGAAGTTTGACACAACACCAAATGAGCTGGTTCAGCTGAACAAGCTTTTCTCCAGAGCTGTCGTACCTGGACAAGTATGCTTTCTGTATATTATTTGATTGTATTTTATGTAGTGCAGGGGTGTTCAACCCACGGCCCGGAAGAGTTCAGCATGCTGCCTGGGTAGTGTTGTCATCCGCCAGAAAGTCTTCGGTCACACCAAATCCGACTTTGAAATCACGCGACTTCACTTGAAATCACACAGTTTCAGAGTCGGATGTCAGTGCGACTTCAGGTGCGACTTGGATTGTCTATGCACCTGAACTTGCAAAAAGTAGTGCATGAAGTACTTTCAAAATCAGTGCAACTCCAACAGAGTTGGAATCACACCGATATGACCATTTCCATTGCAAACAAAAGGGTGCGACTTGTCATGAGTTTTGAAAATAAAGTCACATGGCACTGGTGTGACCGGGGACTAAAATGTCCATTACCGCCGTTGTCTGGAGATGGATGGATTATATATATATATATATATATATATATATATATATATATATATATATATATATATTATTGCTGCCTGACACTGACCATTCCAGCTCCCGCCACTGTCTCTCTCTCTCTCTCTCTCTCTCCCCCATGCATCTAAAAATGAAGCTCATTTTCAGGTGTGGGAACCAATGGGAAATTGCCTTCTGTAAGAGCACCATGCAATTTCCTGGTTACTGCTGTTCGAAAAAGTTTTAGGTACATTATCTATACCAGTGATGATTAACTTGCGGTCTGCCCAACTTTTTCTGCTCATCAGCTATCCTTCTTGTTTGTGTATGTTATGTGAGGCCCAACACAATTTGTCTTCTTCCAATGTGGCCCCAAGAGGTTGGACACCCCTGATTTAGCGCATAGGCTCTCATCCAGTAGTATATGTTCCTCAAGGCATACCTTTTTGCTTTTTAAACATGTGTGATTTGCAAATATTTTCTTTGTTCAGAACTAAAAAGTAGCATTTGGAAAATACACATTTTTTACAATCAAGTTAATTCTGAATTATACATGAATATATCACATTCACAAGGCAGCAAGAGCTGTAGGCTTCTTAACTGTGACAGGCCTATTTTACGGCTATGCTGTCAATACCTTGTGAAAAAAATAGCAGGAACTCGGATTATATTCAGATGAATGAGTCAGAGGAGGTACCCCCTTCCATTTCCCTTCCTACCCTGTGGATATGTCTCATACAGCTTTTTAGGTAGACTGAGTGTGCATGCCGAGTTGGGCTTCAAAAAGCATTCACTGTGAAATCATTGTCATAGATGCACGCTGTAGCTAAAGGTTTCACTTGCAAAATAAAGAATGGTATGCAGGTTATGAAAATAATACATAACTTTTAAAAGCTTAATAATGCCATGGACCAAAAATTGGTCTAGTTTCTCTGTAATGCAAGTCCTTATTTTCACCATTCGAGGGCAAAGTAATAGATTTGCTTTTAGTAGTGAGGGTAAGGAGTTAATACAGTGCTTGCCTCATACTCACCTATTGTACAGTTCACTTATAATGAGCATCCTGTGAAGTTGATCTTCAGGTTCCATCCCAGTACAGGATTAGAGCTTACACAGGGCTATATGGACCCAACTGGGGGAATCAATGGTGGAGAAAGATCTGGGAGTTCTGGTAGATCACAAGCTTAATAATGACATGCAATGCCAAGCTGCAGTTTCTAAAGCAAGGAAAATCCTCTCTTGTATTAAGAGGTATAGACTCCAGAGAGAGAGATATCATATTACCCCGGTACAAATCATTAGTAACACCTCATCTGGAATATGCAGTTCATTGGGGAGCTGGAGAAAGTACAGAGAAGGGCAACCAAACTGATAAGAGGCATGGAGGAGCTCAGCTATGAGGAAAGATTGGAGGAACTGAATTTATTCTCTCTTGAGAAGAGGAGATTAAGGGGGGATATGATCAACATGTATAAATACATCAGTGGTTCATATAGTGAACTCGGTGTAGAGTTATTCACCCTGAGGTCATCGTGGAGGACAAGGGGGTTCTCACTACGTCTGGGGGAAAGAGATTTAATTTCACAGTAAGAGCTGTGAAAATGTGGAATAGACTCCCTCAAGTGTTGGTTCTGGCCAGCTCAGTGGATTGCTTTACAAAAAGGCCTGGATTCTTTTCCTAGATACATATAATATAACTGAATACTATCATTTATAGGTAAAGTTGATCCAGGGATATCCGATTTGCCTCTCAGGGGATCAGAAAGACATTTTTTCCCTGGCAGGAGCAAATTGGATTGTGCTTTATGGGGTTTTTTTTTTTTTGCCTTCCTCTGGATCAATTGTGGGTGTAGGATTATAATTTTTTTTTTTTTTTTTTGGGGTTGAACTGGATTAACTTTTTTGTCTTTTTTTTGAGCCAAACTAACTTTGTAACTATGGACCCTTCCATGAGCCCCCATGTTAGGCTTTGAGTGCTAGATTGTGGGGGGTAATGAGACTGTAATGTGTCCCTCTGTATGTGGAAGTTTTCCTCTGGTAAGGGAGCACTATAATATAACTGACCGTTTCCAATATTTTCAGAAATATAACAACTGTTTGAAATAAAAGTACACACATTTTGAGGGTACATACAACTGGCAGCTGTCTTGATGGCCATCATGGCAATACATTCAATACTCAGTCCTCAGAAAAAATGAAGAAATGCTGATCACCATAGAAGCCAAGGTTAAGCTTCAGTTAGGAATGAAACTCATTGGAGTTGGGTGCACCCGGTGGACCTGTCTCTGCAATGATTTCCTTCAATAAATGTAACCTTGGCTTTTACAGTGAGCAGCTTTTCTCCCTTTCTCCTGAGCATTGAGGTATGGAAGCAGTTCACGACCATGGGGAGCCGGGTGGCTGGAGAGGAAGCTGATACTTTCAGTGGAACATTATTCTTTTAATGGGAATATATTATTGGCTGAAAGCCACTGAATCAGGATAGTCCTCTTTTGACTAGTCATCTTAGACTATTCTATTTGAAGTTTAGCATGTGTATTGTAATAACTTCAGCTACTAACACCAATTCCTTCAAACTGTGTAATACTAGATTCGCTACACCCAGGCCCTCTGCTACAGTTGGTCATGGGTTGGACAATGGAAATGTTCCCCAACACTGGGTCCAACCACAACCATATTTAAACTGCCTCTATTTCTATTTAGTTTAGATAGTTTATTTGGTATATATTGGAAGCCACATCAATGGCACCTTTGTAAACATGTCAGGTTCTTGCGATGGGACATTCAGTATTAAGCTATATTTTAAAATAAAACATTTCATTGCTCTGCTTCCCTATTGTAAGTTTAGAGACCTTCTATGTCCCTTTGGAATGTTTTAGGTTTCAGCAAGTGATGGCATATATTGATTTCTATTTCTTGTTTTAAGCTGCTGTATGTCCCTGACCCAGACTACATTTCCAGTGTGGAGAGCTCCCCGTCCCTCAGTCCCATAAGTCCTCTATCTCCAACCTCATCAGAAGTGGAGTTTGAGAAAACAATTGTAAGTATTGTATATTTCTATATTGTGGCCTCCAGGTGTTTCTATTTATATGTAGGATGAGAGGCTATACAAGCTTGTGTGGTTTGAGTTTACTGTATATGTTTTATATTGCCTGCGTGCATATGTGATGTTACGTACCCTTACTGCCATCACCATCTCAATGTAAGGCTTAATAAGATTGTGTAGTCACTCTTTTTTTACATGTAAAAAAGATCATCTTGATGCAGTTTTTTTCCCTCCATATTTTTTTGGAATATACTTTGTAGTTTTATATATAAATGGGGAAGCCATATTGGCTCTTTAGACCTGCAAGCTCACTGCTACACAATGCTTGTGCTTTACGTCTGCTTTTCACAATACACATCTGAGTCTGATATGTTATCCAAGCAGTTGTTAGAGATCCTGTCACCAGATTATTGATTTTACTAATAATCTTCCCATAAGGTTACATGTGCATTGAACATATTGCATAATCTATTACCTGTAAGGCCTCAAGCAGCTTCCCTCCTGAAGTGCTATTGTGTTCTACTGGTGAGGAGCCTTCCCTGCCAGCACAACACAATGATCACTGCTGGTGGCTATAGCCACCAGCAGTGATTGCATAAAAAATCCAACAGCCTGGTTGTACTGAATTTGTTCGATGGACGAACTTCAGTGCAACCAGGATGCCCATAGATGGATCAGATTTTCTCCAGTTCCTGCTGAATCAGCCAGGATTCGATCCATCTATGGCTGGCTTTAAGGGCTTTTTTTCTAACCATTCGTGTGGTCAAATCAATATCCATTTTTGACCACAGAAAAAATTCAAAGGAGCAGGATAAGAAATTTTTTTCTTGAACAAACAAGATTCTAACAATGAATGTGCTTTTCGTTCAGTAAAGTTAATTTGTTTCAAAATGTTTAAAGTAAACAAAATGTTGAACTACGTTTGGATGACATTCATCAAGCCGATGCATACACAGAATTTTCATACATATTTTTTGTTCTGAAATTTATAGCCAGCCTTACAATCATCTTCTGTTCGTTCCCCTTTATTCTGCTAAATATACCCATTAAAAGGGTATTGATATATCTGTTCGACAGCTACATAAAATACCTGTTAAGCTGGCCACGGATGGAGCAAAATTTCAATCCATCTATGGGCAGGGTGGGTGTGCTGTAGTAATCTATCAATCGACTTACTACAACCAGCCTCTCTGGTTTTTTGTGTTGACTTGTGATCTCTGCCAGCAGTGATCATTGTACTCTGCCGGTGGGGAAGGCTCCCGGCTGACAGAACACAGCAGTGCTATGGGAAGGATTCTAGGAATCAAGCAGTTTTCTTCCTTCAACCCGTGGTATGGCCTTGCTTAGTCCTTCCAGAAATCCTGTGATCCGATAACTTTCTGAATTCTCAGAAAGTTACCTGAAGGGGTTATGGAGCTGAAGAGAGGTGTGTGTTCTTTGTGACCCATCAGAAATTAAGTTGGCAGGGCTGGCACCAGCAGCAGTTAGCAGCATGCTATGGTATTTTTGGCATATCAACAGTTATTTTTATTTATTTTTTTTCTTGCAGTGTTAAAAGGGATAAAAATATAGGGGAATGTGCATGTATTCCAGAGCTGTAATAAATGGATTTTTTTAATTATGCTTCGACGTACGTGTTTTAAATTATGCTGAATGCCACTCCTTTCTTTTTTAATTTCTTTTTTTTTAATTTTTTTTTTTTTTTTTAATTCACCATCAACTGATCTTTATTGTTTGTTCTGTGTTTATGTGTGATTGTTTAATTGTGTATTATTTTTTTTTTTTTGTACATGGTTACTTTTCTGTCTTTACTTCGTAACTAATAAATATCTGTTTTAATTATTCAGAATCTGCTAAACATTTAGATTCCACTTGTGTGAAATAAACTTGAATTCGTGCTTGCATGCAGCACTTTGACATTTACCAAGGCTATGTGCTTTTAGGACCCACAAGGCCCTCACCACAAGGAATCCACATCCACCCCTTCCTACTCATCGATCCGTCCTTCCAGGGTGGTCTCATCCACATCGGAGGAAGAAGAAGCTTTTACAGAGAAGTTTCTGAAGATTAACTGCAAGTACATAACTGATGGAAAGGTAAGTCTGGTATATTGATGTATTTCTATAAATGTGTCATGCTTTTCTGTGGATGAACTTTACTCGCAGCTGATCTACACAATGTGAAGGGTGGTATGTTTACAATGTTTACTCATTCTGCTGTTACTATTATTTTTGCAGGTACTTGTATAGCGCCATCAATTTACGCAGCACTTTACATATATATATATCTATTACACACACTATATTGCCAAAAGCATTGGGACGCCTGCCTTTAAATGCACCTAATGGAAGGGGTCTGCTGTGCTGGGGGAGAGGTTTATGGGAAGGCTGGAGGAGTATTTAAACTGGGATCGAGGGGGGGAAAGGGAGAATTAGATTATAACGGGGTAGTTAGTTCAGGACAGGGGTCAGTCCTTATTGGTGGGTGGAATGGGAGAAGGATTATGGCAGATAAGAAGGTTCCCATGTTACAAACAACCAGTGGAATTGGTACAATTTGTATAAAAATAAAAAATATGCAAAATATGTGTCAATGAATTAAAGTGTTTGTTCAGCAATGCAGAAGTCTGCCAAGCAAAATAAGTGAGTTGGAAGCTTTGGTGCATGAACAGAACTATGATTTAATTGGTATTGCTGAATCTTCGCTACATTCTTCACATGACTGGACCATTAATATTCCTGGCTATGTTCTCTTTCGGAGAGACAGGGTAAATAGAAAAGGTGGTGGAGTCTGTCTCTATGTGAGAAGTGATCTCAGAGCGAGTTTGAAAGAGGACCTAGTTGATGGAGAGTGTGATGAGGCTGAAGCATCATGGATGGATCTGCACATGGTGGTGCGTACTACAAAGGTAATCATTGGAGTTTGTTATAGGCCTCCCAGTGTTAATAAGGAGGTGGAGACTCAGCATCTTGCACAGATCGAAAGGGCTTGGACAGTGATAATGGGGGATTTTAACTACCGGAAATTGACTGGAGTAATGGTACTGCAAGAACCGTTAAAGGGCAAACATTTTTTAAACCTACTACAGGACAATTTTATAGTACAGTTCATAGATGCCCCTGCTAGGAATGATGCTCTGCTGGATCTGGTAATCTCAAACCATGCAGAGCTTATTACAAATGTCCATATAAAAGAACATCTGGGTAGAAGTGACCATAACATGATTTTATTTTTCCCATATGTGCTTGCTGTTTACAGCTAACAATGAAAACACTCAAGCTGCTCTCCAAGACTTGGGGAATATGGGCATTGAAGAACACAACACAGAAATGGGAGTTCTTTAAAAAGACTGTAAAATATATTCCCATGGGCAACAAGTTTAAAAAGCTATATATCAAACCTGTGTGGCTTACAGCCAAAGTTAAAAAAGCTATAGATAATAAGAAAAGAGCTTTTATTAAATATAAAAATGAAGGAAAGCTATCATCGTTTAAATATTACAAAGAATATAACAGAATATGCAAAAAGGAAATAAAGGCCGCAAAAATTGAAAATGAATGACAGATTGCAAAAGATAGCAGAACCAACCCCAAAAAATCCTTCAAATATATTAAGAGTAAAAAGGTTCGGTCTGAGCATGTAGGCCCTTTACAAAATAATCTAGAGTGGGTGACTGAGGACAAAGAGAAGATAAATTTATTAAATACCTTCTTCAGCTCTGTGTATGCAAAGGAGCATGGGGAAGCTCTTGTTCATAATGGGCATGGTATTGACACAGCTCCAGATGGTCCACATTGGCTCACAACTAATATAATACAAAAAATATTTAGACAGTGTAAAGGTGAATAGAGCACCTGGACCGGATGGCATCCTTAAAGAATTGAGCTCTGTCATTTCAAAGCCATTGTTTCTAATTTGTAGGGACTTTTTAATGACTGGCATAGTACCACTGGATTGGCATAAGGCCAATGTGGTGCCAATATTTAAAAAGGGGTCAAAATCTTTACCGAGTAATTATAGACCTGTTAGTTTAACTTCTATAGTTGGGAAGACATTGGAGACTTTAGACCACATAGATGAGTTCTTGCTGGAAAAAAAAAATATTTTAAGCAACAGAGCATGGATTCATGAAAGACAGAAGTTGTCAAACAAATCTGATTTCTTGTTATGAGGAGGTGAGCAAAACCTTGGAGGAGAGAGGGGTGGCGGTGGACGTGGTATGCTTGGATTTTTCAAAAGCGTTTTGACCCAGTTCCCCACACACGGCTAATGTGTAAGGTAAAGTCTACAGGCTTGGACAAATCTGTATGTAAATGGACAGAAAACTGGCTAAAAGATTGTATCCAGAGAGTAGTGGTTAATGATTTATACTCTGAATGGTCTAGGGTTGTCAGTGGTGTACCCCAAGGTTCAGTGTTGGGACCCTTATTTTTTAATATATTTATAAACGATATAGGGTCTGGGATTATAAATCCCATTTCAGTTGACACCAAGCTGTGCTGTGGAATAACGTCCTTACAGGATGTCTCCAATTTACAAGCTGACCTCAGTGTACTGTTTAATTGGGCAACTATGTGGCAAATGAGGTTTAATATTAATAAATGTAAGGTTCTGCACTTGGGGACTAAGAATATGCATGCATCATACATACTAGGGGGGGGTACAAATGAGGGAATCAATGATGTAGAAGGATCTGGGTGTTCTGGTAGATCACAAGCTTTATAATGACATGCAATGCCAAGCTGCGGTTTCTAAAGCGAGCAAAATCCTCTCTTGTATTAAAAGAGGTATAGACTCCAGAGAGAGAGATATCATATTACCCCGCTACAAATCATTAGTAAGATCTCATCTGGAATATGCAGTTCAGTTTTTGGGCACCAATTCTCAAAAAAAACATTGGGGAACTGGAGAAAGTACAGAGAAGGACAACCAAACTGATAAGAGGCATGGAGGAGCTCAGCCATCCATGAGGAAAGATTAGAGGAACTAAATTGTATTCTCTCTTGAGAAGAGGAGATTAAGGGGGATATGATCAACATGTATAAATACATCAGTGGTTCCTATAGTGAACTCGGTGTAGAGTTATTCACCCTGAAGTTTCTTCACAGTGAGAGCTGTGAAAATGTGGAATAGACTCCCTCAAGAGTTGGTTCTGGCCAGCTCAGTGGATTGCTTTAAAAAAGACCTGGATTATATCTTGGATACACAGAATACAACTGGATACCAACATTTTAGGTAAAGTTGATCCAGGGAATATCCGATTGCTTCTTGGGGGATCAGGAAGGAATTTTTTTCCCCTGCAGGAGCAACTAGGATCATGCTTTGCTATTTTTTTTTTTTTTGCACTTCCTCTGGATCAACTGTAGGTATAGGATTAGAACTTTTTTTTTTTTTTAATGGTTGAACTGGATGGACTTTTTTGTCTTTTTTTTTCAGTCACACTAACTACGTAACTATGAACTTTAACGGCATCCCAGTTTTAGTCCGTAGGGTTCATTGAGTTGTCTCACCCTTTACACTTATAACTGCTTCAACTCTTCTGCGAAGGCTGTCCACAAAGTTTAGGAGTGCGTCTATGGGAATGTTTTTGACCATTCTTCCAGAAGTGCATTTGTGAGATCAGGCACTGATGTCAGATGAGAAGGCCTGGCTCGCAGTCTCCACTCTAATTCATCCCAAAGGTGCTCTGTGCGGTTGAGGTCAAGACTCAGTGCAGGCCAGTTCCTCCACCCCAAACTCGCTCATCCATGTCTTTATGGACCTTGCTTTGTGCACTGGTGTGCAGGCATGTAGGAACAGGAAGGGGCCATCCCCAAACTCTTCCCACAAAGTTGGGAGCATGAAATTGTCCAAAATGTCTTGGTATGCTGATACCTTAAGAGTTCCCTTCACTGAAACTAAGGAGCCAAACCCCTGAAAAATAACCCCACACCATAATTCCCCCTCCGCCACACTTTACACTTGGAACAATATAGTCAGGCAAGTACTGTTCTCCTGGCAACCACCAAACTCAGACATGTCCATCGGATTACCAGACAGAGAAGTGCGATTCGTCATGCCACAGAACATGTCTCCACTGCTCGGCCATGGAAACCCATCCCACGAAACTCTATACGCACTGTTGTTGTGCTAATCTGAAAGCCACGTGAAGTTTAGAGGTCTTTAGCTATTGACTCTGCAGACAGTTGTCGACTTCTGCGCACTGTGCGCTTCAGCATGCACTTACCCCACTCTGTCATTTTATGTGGCCTACCACTTGGTGGCTGTGTTGCTGCTGTTCCCAGTTGCTTCCACTTTGTTATAATACCACTAACTGCTGACTGTGGAATATTTAGTAGCAAGGAAATTTCACGGATGGACATATTGCACAGGTGGCAACCTATCACGGTACCACGCTTGAATTCGCTGAGCTCCTGAGAGTGACCCATTCATTCACAAATGTTTGAAGAAGCAGTCTGCATGCCTAGGTGCTTGATTTTATACACATGTGGCCATGGAGGTGATTGGAACACATGAATCCAGAGATTTGGAGGGTGGCCCTAATACTTTTGGCAATATAATGTATATATAATACACAAACACCGTACATCCATATGTTTGGGAGGGGTTTGGGAGAAACTTCCGGCTCGGTTCGCTGGAAGTTCAGAAGTGGTTGTGGGTGCTGTCAAAACCAATTACCTGCCCCCCCCCCCCAAAAAGGTGCCAAATGTGGTAGTGGGGGGAGGCAAATAAGCATAGCTTCCACTTTCGGCTGGAACTCTGCTTTAACTTGTGCAATGGGGGGGGGGGGGAGGGAACTTGCCTTCTATCCTGACCCTCCAAGGTTTTATACCCACAAATTAATTCCAATATAGGTAGGGTTTTGGCATTCTATATGTGCTCCTCTATGTGACCCCTTAAAGTTATTGTGACGTTTATAATTTTATCTTTTTAAAATAACTGTTTTATACTTATCTGTTCTGTACAATGGAGCTGCACAGAGCGGCCCCAAACCTCTTCTCGGGTCCCCTGTTGTCGCTCCTGGCTCCTCTTTTTTTCTTGGTGTGCCACCACAGGAAGCTGCTTCCTAATGTAGCACACCTGCGTGCTCGATCCTGAGCCCTGCTGTCTGTGCCCGTTGACATAGACACCCCCTTATCACAGGATTTGACTGACAGCAGCAGTAACCAATGGCTGTGAGAGCAGGGAGAAGAGGAGCGAGTCTCTGAAGACGGGCACAGCGCTTGACTAATTGAGGGCTCAGATGTATTGGGGGGGTGCGTGAAGGGGCGTTAATTTAACCTAAGCATTTTTTACATTTAATTCAAGGAATGCATTAGGGTAAAAAAAATAGACTTTACAGCCACTTTAAAGTCTGTGGTTTTAACCACTACTGAGACCCACTGTCTCGTCTCTGTAGTGGGACCTGCTGGCATGCCCATTTATTCTGGCTGTCCTAGATAAAATCTTGATCTATAGTCTATGGGGAAATCTTTGATATCTGACCAGAAGAAAGCTCAGACCCACCTTTAAAACTGACTGACTATGGCAACAAATCCACATTACTGATCTGGACATAAACTTGTATCTCACGGTCTGATGGACTCAGAGTGGAGACGCCTGGGTTAATATTCAGTCAGTTTGCAAGCTTGTTGTGAAAATACTATGGTCATGCTCTTTGCTCAGAGTTTCAGAAGTGTGCTTTTCTTTTTCAGGGCTCGGTCAGTGGCGTACTTCTGGTGACGCCAAATAACATCATGTTTGATCCGCATAAGACTGATCCTCTAGTGCAGGAGAATGGCTGTGAAGAGTACGGCATCATGTGCCCAATGGAGGAGGTGACATCGGCTGCTATGTAAACAAAGAAATAGTCAATAGCAAATTGAAGGATATTCCTGTGTAAGAATATTTTCTTAAGCTATTATTGTCACATTTCTATTATATAGATTTATATTTTACCCTGTGCAAGTACATTTTATATCGAATAACTACACTTTCTTTTGAGAACTGATCAATTTCCTTTTGTCTTAACAAGGCAAGTTCTCTAATTGATTTCCTTCCTGTAGTGTAACCATTTTTTTTTTTGTTGTTTGTTTTTCATGAGTGCTGTGATGTTTCTTTGTCATTGCTCCATACACTCAACTCTACCATATAGAAGCCCATGGTTTTCATATGCTGCACCGATGAGACCTAATAAACTTGAAACAGCCGTGTGCCAGTATGACAGTTTAATTAGGTTTTGGCTTTTAACCACTGACTATACCAGCAGTCCTGGAACTACAATTGGTTGCGTGGGTATACAGAAATGATTTTATGACCATTTTCTCAGAGACCCATATAAATCTTACTTCTTGAAGTTATGATGTGACTTTTACTTAAAGTGGTGTTAAATAGCCATGTGTTATATTGCAGTGATCCATTCTTATATGTGATGGTTGCATCCGTTTCCTGTTTTTTTTTTTGTTTTTTTTTTCTTTCCTTTTCTTTTCACTTGATGGTCCAAGCCCGTAAATCTGTTATTTTTCAACTTTCTTTAGAGAGTGGTTGTAAACCCTTACATATACTGTACCTAGTGAAGTGACTGGCCTTAGGTGATGCACAGCGATGAAACAAATCATCCTACATGAGTTGTACCTGTTTATCTGCAGTCTTCAATTCTCTACATCTGTTAAAAGTGCTGAGTTTATACAGTTTGTAGAGCTGTGAAAAAAAAGGGAGCAGAGAGGTGAAGTTACACTCTGCTGAGCACAATAAGGAGAGCTGGTTGGAGGGAAGAGACACTCCCCCTCCGCACAGGACACAGAACTGAACCTGTCAATCTGCTGGAGCTCCCTCCCCTATCACCATTTTTGCTTTTCCTTGGTGTCGGAAGTGATTCATGCTGATAGCAGAGGAACAAAGCAACAGACAGAAATGACACTTGGTGCTCCTAATGGAGACGAGTACACACTATAGAGGGATATGCTTTGTTTCATATTTCATGTCTGAGGTTTGCAACCACTTTAACATACCAAGCTGTCCAGCAAAAATGGCAATTAGAGGGTTGAGATAAACCATTTACCACTGACAGGTGCTTACAATGGTCAACTTTTATTTACAGTATGGTAACTAAATCTGCATCTAACACTGCTCTCTCCCCAAATTGGCAATGCTGCTGTCCAAAGGTGTCTCCATTGTTGCTCCAGCGGAGTGGAGACATCTAAGGACAGGAAGAGTGATACTGTCTGGATTACCAGGTGAAAATAAAGGAAATAAGTCTTGGACAAATCATGCAGGGACCATGTTGAAGAGTTGGTGAGTTGCAAAAAAATATTTTTTGTAATACGTGACTATATAAAAATTATTATTTTAAGCAGTGATTCTGTAAATATTGGTGCCATAATAAATTAAACCTGTACATAGCTTGGTATTTTCTCAATTTTATTTTACAAACTAAATTGTCAATCACTTAAAAAAAAAAAAATCCAATTGAATTTTCCTGGCAGTAGGAAAGCTATTTTACAGCTATTTTACTCTCTGGTAGCCTGCAGCCTATACAGTGGATATAAAAAGTCTACACACCCCTGTTAAAAAATAAAAGTAAGGTTTTTGTGATGTGAAAAAATGAGACAAAGATAAATCATTTTTTTCCACCTTTTTAATGTTACCTATAAACTGTACAACTCTACAAACTGAATTCTTTTAGGTGGAGGGAAGCAAAAAATAAAAAAATAAAATAATATGGTTGCATAAGTGTGCACACCCTTAAACTAATACTTTGTTGAAACACCTTTTGATTTGTTTCCAGCACTCAGTCTTTTTGGGTATGAGTCTATCAGCATGGCACATCTTGACTTGGTAATATTTGCCCACTCTTCCTTGGAAAAAACACTCCAAATCTGTTACATTGCAAGGGCATCTCCTGTGCACAGCCCTCTTCAGATCACCCCACAGATTTTCAATCGGATTCAGGCCTGGGCTCTGGCTAGGCTATTCCAAAACTTTTTAATCTTCTTCTGGTGAATCCATTCCTTTGTTGATTTGGATGTATGCTTTGGTTTGGGTCGTTGTCATGCTGAAAGATGAAGTTCCTCTTCATGTTCAGCTTTCTAGCAGAAGCCTGAAGGTTTTGTGCCACTATTGACTGGTATTTGGAACTGTTCATAATTCCCTCTACCTTGACTAAGGCCCCAGGTCCAGCTGAAGAAAAACAGCCCCAAAGCATGATGCTGCCACCACCATGCTTCACTGTGTGGGTATGGTGTACTTTTGGTGATGTGCTGGGTTGTTTTTGCTCCAAACATTTCTTTTGGAATTATGGCCAAAAAATTCAACCATGGTTTCATCAGACCAGAACACATTTTTCCCCACATGCTTTTGGGAGACTTCAGATGTGTTTTTGCAAAATGAGGCGGGCTTGGATGTTTTTCTTAAGAAAAGGCTTCCATCTTGCCACTCTACCCCATAGCCAAGACATATGAAGAAAACGGGAGATTGTTGTCACAGTACCCACAGCCAGTACTTGGCAGATTTCCTGCAGCTCCTTTAATGTTACTGTAGGCCTCTTGGCAGCCTTCTCGTCTTTTCATCAATTTTGGAGGGACATCCAGTTCTCGGTAATGTCACTGTTGCGCCATATTTTCTCCATTTGATGATGACTGTCTTCACTGTGTTCCATGGTATATCTAATGCCTTGGAAATTCTTTTGTACCCTTCTCCTGACTGATACCTTTTAACTATGAGATCCCTATGATGCTTTAGAAGCTCTCTGCGGACTATGGCTTTTGCTGTAGGATGTGATTAAGAAAATGTCAGGAAAGACCTACTAGAACAGCTGAACTTTATTTGGGGTTAATCAGAGGCACTTTAAATGATGGCAGGTGTGTACTGACTCCTATTTAACATGATTTTTAATGTGATTGATTAATTCTGAACACAGCTACATCCCCATTACAAGAGGTTGTACACACTTATGCAACAGCATTATTTTAGTTTGTTTTCTCCCCCCTCTAAAAGATTTCAGTTTGTTTTTCTATTTAGTTGTACAGTTTATAGGTCACATTAAAGGTGGAAAAAGTTCAGAAATTATTTTTGTCATTTTTTTTTTTAAATCACAGAAACCTGACATTTTAACAGGGGTGGGTAGACTTTTTATATCCACTGTACCTTCCTTTAATTCCGATGCAGCAGGCTGTGTCAGATTCTTCAGCTTTTGACACTTCCAGGAGTGTTGAATGCCTTTGCTCTCCACAGCAGGCTGTGGTTCCATTCTCCAACTCCTACACCACTGCTAGGTTGATGTTAGGGGTTGGAGGATAAAACCACAGTGTACAGTGTGTAGGACAAGCATCGGACATTTCCAGAAATGTTGACTGCTGAATTGTCTGACAGGAGCTGCAGCACTTAAATGGAGGGAAGGTTGGAGGTACTGGGAAGGTGAGTACAAAAACGTTTCTGTTGTAGAGAACATTTCATCTGGATTATTATTAAATCTGGTTGGGTCACTTTAATATGCACATTTGTAGTTTTTTTTTTTTTATAACTATTGTTTTTTTATTGGTCATTTGATTGTTTACAACAATTAACAGTATTGTCGCAATAATGTATTACAGATTTGTAAAGGATATAGATAACAGAATATGAGCATATTCAACATCTTACAAAATTTAGTTTATAAACAATGTGACTTTGTAGTCATTACTGTCACCAATACATTTCTCTTTTTTTGATGAGTATGCAGTGTTTGTTTGAAATATTCAGTCAGTCATTAGTTTAGAGAAGAAAGGAAGGTTGTGAGAAGTGGAGATTAGAGAGAAGTAGAATAAAGAATGAGATTTTAAATTATTACATATTTCCTTTTTTTGGATATTAGGATGATAATAGAGTGGAGTAGCTGTATCTCTAGTGGTGTTTGATTGGTACCTCTTGTAGTTTCTTATTTAACGGTACATTGATGATCTTTGAGCCATAAGTCCCAGTGTTTCTGGAATTTAGCAGATGAGTTGTGTATTTGAGCAAAGGTTTTTTCGAAGGCTGTGTTTTTGTTCAGGATTTCAGTTACTGTGTGAATGGATGGCGTACATTTGTAGATTTTATCCCAGGGACAAAGCACAGGTTTGCTTTACTCAGACCTCTTGTTAAAAAGGGGTCTGGGGTGAAAAGACTGTTAAGAATATTGTTATTTAAATGGAATTGACATTCAGTTATCTTTTAAATAATGTTCCTACCCCAGAACCGTCCAAAATTCCACACTTACCCATCTGCACTCCTTGTAGATATTCACTATGTGTCCACTAGGAATTTCACAGCCTCTACATGAAAAGTCCCCTGGCCAGCCTCACATGCACAGCAGAATCTCCTAATGGGACTAATGGTGAGTGGCCTTTCCATAGAACTGAAGGAAAATTCTATAGCACATTTGTGACCTGGCCAGGAGACAATTTGTGAAGAGGCTGTGCTGTTTCCAGCAGACCACAAAGTGGAGATCTGTGAGGAGTGTGGACTGGTAAGTATACGATTTAGTGGGGATGTTGGGTTGGTGGGGGCTCAATTTTAAAAGTACATAAAAAATATGTATTTTTTTTTTTTTCCATGTAGAGATGTAGAACAGCTGACCAGTATGAGAGATTTCTGCAACTTTAAGAAAATTTCTCAAATTAATGCTCAGGAATTAGATACAAAAATGTGGGATACTGGAAACGACAGTGCCAGCACTGCTCCCCGCAGCACTGAGGAGTCCTTGTCAGAGGACGTTTTCACAGAATCTGAGCTGTCTCCTATTAGAGAAGAGGTGCATTCTTCTGATGAGCTGCGACAGGACAAATCCTCAGGTGCATCCTCTGAATCTGTTAAGACAATCAACCAACTAGCAGGAGAATGTTGCACAACAAACACTTCAGACTCCCCGGATGCTTTGCATGAAAAAGGCAATGGCGAGCCTTCAGCCAATGACAGTGGGATTGCCAGCAATGCCAATGATTTGGAAAAGAGTGACGCTTCCATTAAGGTAGGTGAAGACTTGGATAAAGTATCCGAAACATCTGCTGAATTACAAGCCAGTATGGAGCTAGAGGAAATGGAAGGTACAGGGAACAAATGCAAAGAGGACAAACAAGGGTCGGACAGTGAAAATAAATCCTGGGATCAGAGTATTGATAAAGAGGAATCTGAACCTGGAAACCAAGGAGAGGAAACGGAAGGAGGACTCCATTTAAAACCTTCACTAGGCGACTCGGAAACTGAAGTGGAGGAACTGAGAAAGCTTTGGAAAAACCTCACTATGCAACAAGCCAAGCAGCAGCGGGGAGGACATGCAGCATGCCACGCAGAAGGAGAATAAGCCAAAGATGAGTACAGATTCTCATGGCGAAGGTAAGCATTTATTTTACTGTCAGGTGGGGAAATTTCACTCTATCACTTTCCACAACCTAAGCGTTTCCAGGCTTGTATGCAGATAATAATTTTTCACTTCATGCTTCAGACTTATTAGGCTGTGTACATGATTTATACCAAACTAGTTTCCCTCAATAAGAAAGTGGCAACACAAAACAAAAATACTGTATATTTTAAATTGGAGCAATATAAAAATATGCACAAATCTTATGTATTTGTATCTGTTCAGATTTTCATTTTCCACCTGACTTGGTCAAATTTTAAATTGACTTTTGTCAAGCTGGGTAGTGCTTACATGGCAACCCATGGCTCAAATTTTGGGTGAGTTGGCCGAAGTTCAAGCTGTGTATGGCTGGCTTTATTTTAAAGAGTACTCTGGGTACCTACTGGCTTGTGGGGTAATTTTGAATTTTCCCTTGTTTGAAGGTTGTGTCTGGGCAAGGATGGAAGTACTTGGAATACATAATTGATACAAAATTTAAAGGAGAAGTTTGACCAAAGCTTTTTAGCTATACTTTTCCTATGGATCACAGGAGTGCAGTTTGTTCTGTGACCAGTTTTCAGTTGACAGCAGGCTAAAGACTGCTGTTGGATTTACATCACTCAGCTAGTCTAGGCTCTGGATCAGTCACAACTTTACAGCAAGCCACTGAGAGTCTGAGCCAGCTGTTCCCACCCCCTGCACAGCTCAGTGCTTCAGTGAGCACTGGAGAGGCAGAGTAGAGAGCCAGGGACTGACAGTCCCCACTCTGCTCACAAAAGGCTGTGATCAGTGGTCTTTGATTGCTCAATTCTCAGTCTCACAAGCAGCGGGGGACAGATGCTGCATTGGACTAAACCTGCATCCGCCTAGATGAGTAAATTTTTTTTTTTTTTTTTTTTTTTTTTTTTTACGGAACCCATATTTCCCTTTTTTATAGGTCTTATTGTTGGAAACTTTCAAGCAGATCTGTTGCTGGGAAGGTTTAGTGTGTGTGTATGTGTAACATACATAGTGTGTGTGCATATATATATGTGTGTGTGTGTGTATGTATGTATATATATATGTGTGTGTGTGTGTGTGTATGTGTGTGTATATGTGTATGTGTGTGTGTGTATATGTGTATGTATATATATGTATATGTGTGTGTAATATATATATATATATGTGTGTGTGTGTGTGTGTAATATATGTGATGTGTGTGTGTGTGTGTGTGTGTGTATATATGTGTAATATATATTATGTGTGTGTGTATATATGTGTAATATATATATACATACACACACACACACACACACACACACACACACACACACATACACAGCGCGCTATGCAAGTACCTGCAAGAATAAGTGTGTGTTTTAATGGGACCATGCAGTAGGAGACTGATCTTACCAAACTCTCCAGTTGGCACTGACCCTGATTGTTGCTTTGTTGCAGATCTACTGCTGTCCAAAACTTTTCCTTAGGCCTCATGTACACAGAAACTCGCCTAGTCGTTAAACTGTCCTGGCAGTAGAAAAATGCTAAACACGATAAAAGCGCATGCCATCTCGGTATTGCATTTAGCTTTTGGGTGTTTATTCATTTGATTGGCCAGAGTATTTTCCATTAACATGGTTAAACAACCAAGCCCTAAACGCGGTTAGCGTTTAGCTGCATTTACACGCGTTTTTGCTCGGTTAGTGTTTATTGGCCAAAATGGTTCTCTCCTGAACGCAATTAATCTGCGTTCAGAAGAGGAACATTTAACTACTCCTAAACTCTGGTAAAAGCCTATGTGTATGTGGACACATAGGCGTTTTTTGATTTGCGTTCAGGGGCTTTGGCTAAATAATGCCAAAAGCTGTACATAAGGCCGAAGTGTGTCAGACTCTTGTTCCCCGTTATGCACTGTGGTTTCTCCCACTAGCCTCTAAGTCACTACTGTCTCCTGTGGTGGCATTAAAGTTGGTAGACAAGATCACAGCATGTGACGAAGGACGCAGGCATCAAACACTGCTAGATAAGTTGGTACTGGGTAATAAATATTCTCCTGAAGGCCATAGCTCTTCAGCAAAGTGATGATCTGAGTCAGCTTCCGCCAGAGTGGTATGTATGAATGGTTTCTTTAGCAGGGACCTTTTATTGGAAACCTTTTTGACAATAGAGTTGTTTTCTAGGAACAATAAACATATACAAAGGTAACCAATAGACCTATACAAAGGTAACCTGTGCTGCTCACCTGGCTATGTGTGGTTGTTGCGCTTCTTAGTCACTGACCCAATACAGAATTCAGCAAATAGATCCAAAAAAATACTTCATCTATTCATTATACTTTCTCAAGGTTGATGATTTTTTTAAGTATTGAATAAAAAGTTCCAGCATGACAACTTGGCTACTATCCTATTTAGAAAGGGAGGTCGGCATTGGCAGCCCCATATTTCTCTCATGGCACATGTCCTATAAAGTCCTAATGCTCAGTTGTTGCCTGTTTCAGAACACTGCACTGATAATGAGTTTTAAGAACTTAAGAGTACAAATGGACTACACATGGCTGTGTGCTTCATAATTATCTGGTGCAGCAGCAGACAGGAGCTCTATAATCTTCACGGATCTGCATCACAGAGGATGAGGAATATATGGAGTCATCCACCTTACCAACCAGACTCATCCACCTTACCAGCCGCTCTGTATCCGCCACCCTCCATCATTCCCTCCACTGGCTTCCAATTGCCCAACGCATAAAATTCAAACTACTAACATTGACGTACAAAGCCATTCATAACGCTGTCCCAAACTACCTCACCAACCTGATATCCAAAGACCACCCAACACGTACTCTTTGCTCCTCACAAGACCTCCTACTCTCCAGTTCCCTGGTCTCCTCCTCCCATGCCCGACTCCATCACTTCTCCAGGTCTTCCCCCATCCTCTGGAACTTACTACCCCAATCCATCAGACTGTCATCTACCCTCCTCACATTTAGGCGCACCCTGAAAACCCATCTCTTCAGGGAAGCCTACCCCGCCCTCACCTAACAGCTGATCTCCTCCACTCCTCCTACCACTCCATCCCCCACAGCCATTTCCTCCTGTACCACTATCCCCTCCCTCCTAGATTGTAAGCTCCAAGGAGCAGGGCCCTCGAACCGCTCGTGTATTGTATTGTTACTGTATTGTCTCATGTACTGTCCCCCACTATAATGTACAGCGCTGAGCAAACTTTTTCATGCTATGTAAATACTGTATAATAATAATTATATATATATATATATATTATATATATATATATATATATATATATATATATATATATATATATATATATATAAAAATTCACATCACCTCTGTGAGCAAATTGCTTATCCAACTATTGATTTGAGACATATTTACCATCCATTTGGTTATACTGGATATGTTGTCATCCCTTATCCAAATGTTTGAATTGCCATTAAGAAAACGTGTCATTCTAGAACCGTGTTCTCCAAACTGTTGCCTGAGGGCTGGATGCGTTTCTTGCTAGCCGTTATCCGGCCCTTGGGGTACTATTACTCTCAATGATATGGAACACTGTTCTTCCCACTGACACCAACAGTGAGCCATAATTTCTCCCGATGACACTAATGATGGGGCACTATTTCTCCAACTGACACCAACAATGGGGCTCTACTCCTCTTCATACTGACAACCAACCATGAGACCATGTTTATCACTGATGCTAGGCCTGGGATATTTTCGACCCCCATTGGCCACAATTCGGCCCCCCTAAAGTCTTAAGGACAGTAACATGCCCTTTTGATTGAAAAGTTTGGAGACCCCTGTTGTAGAAAATTATTTGGGAATGTCAGTTGGTCGAGCAATTTGCAAAAAGAGCTATTGACCATTTGTATCTCAGTTGCTAGAATCTGTTATCCCAGTGTGACCAAGATTATTTATTTCCAGTAATTATTTAGAGTCTTTAATTAGAGACTTGCCAGTTGTATGTTGCAGCTAAGCAATACAGCAGGTGGCTTACACAAACTCTGGTACTGATGGCTGCTTGTAGGTAAACACTTCATTTTTTTTTTTCCCGTGAAAATTAAATTGTGCTGTTTGACATAATGTCAATTTTAGGAGGCATATACTGCGATAAACACCATGCTGATAGTCTCCCAGGTGGGATTCAATGTTAGAATCCAGAAGTGTTAAGCCTAGTTTCAACTTGTCGTTGTGGGGGGGGGGGGGGGGGGAATGGTGGTGGTAAACAAAGAGGAGGCTGAGATGTGTTTTTATCACCCCAGCCCCCTAAGTAGCAAAGGCAGCTGTACTGGGGTATACGGATACCACATGTCGCATTCAGCAGGCAAATTGTGAATGGCGCCACACTGCATCATGTGCTGTTGTTTGGGCTTCTAGGTGTTAAAACTAGTGATCAGGTGGCAGTATATCTCCTTCTCACCACCTGTCAAATGCCCTCTAAAAAGCGTTCCACTGGATATTGCTCTTCGGAGGGCTGACATGAGTGTAATTGAACCCTAAGGCAGGGTTTTCTAACTGTTTAGCTACCAAGCTGCCTGATTTTTATTCATTATAGAATATGGCAACTGAAAGCAAACTATAGTTATGGCTACATAAATTTAAATAAATTAAAAGCTTTAGTAATTACATTAGTCTATGACATGATTTCACTCGACAGATTTCTGTATCAGTAGGAAATGTCCCAAGAAAATTGCCACAATGCCTTCTGATAGGGTAGTAGTCACCCTTCAGCAAATATAAAGTACATTCAATCAGCACACCCTGCTAGGTCCTTGAAATGCTTGAAGTCATGACTGACCTTACTAAAGCTGATGATGGTAT